GGCCACATCGCTCACCTGAGTAACTTTGGCCATGCTGCTCTTTACCAGATCCCCCCCTTGTAATACCTATTGTGGCCCCGCCCTACCCCGGGGGGTCATGATTTGAACAATTTAGAATCTACACTACCCGAGGATGCTTCCACATAAGTTTCAGTTTTTCTGGCCTAGTGGTTCTTGAGAAGATTTTTAATTTTTTTTTTTCTATATATTTCAGTGTAAAACTTGGATTCCCTATTTTGGCCCCACCCTACCCCCGGGGATCATGATTTTAATAATTTAGAATCTACACTACCCCAGGATGCTTCCGCATAAGTTTCAGCTTTTTTGGCCTAGTGGTTCTTGAGAAGAAGATTTTTAAAGATTTTTTTCTATATATTTCAATGTAAAACATGGATTCCCTATTGTGGCCTCGCCATACCCACGGGGGTCATGATTTTAATAATTTAGAATCTACACTACCCCAGGATGCTTCCACATAAGTTTCAGCTTTTCTGGCCTTGTGGTTCTTGAGAAGAAGATTTTTAAAGATTTTTCCTATATATTTCAATGTAAAACTTGGATTCCCTATTGTTGCCCCGCCCTACCCCCGGGGGTCATGATTTTAACAATTTAGAATCTACACTATCCCAGGATGCTTCCGCATAAGTTTCAGTTTTTTTGGCCTAGTGGTTCTTGAGAAGAAGATTTTTAAAGATTTTTTCTATATATTTCAATGTAAAACTTGGATTCCCTATTGTGGCCTCGCCCTACCCCGGGGGTCATGATTTTAACAATTTAGAATCTACACTACCCCAGGATGCTTCCGAATAAGTTTCAGCTTTTCTGGCCCAGTGGTTCTTGAGAAGAAGATTTTTTAATGACCCCACCCTATTTTTGTCTTTTCTTGATTATCTCCCCTTGTAAAAGGACTTGGCCCTTAATTTTAACAATTTAAACTTCCCTTTACCCAGGGATACTTTGTACCAAGTTTGGTTAAAATTGGCCCAGTGGTTCTTGAGAAGAAGTTGAAAATGTGAAAAGTTTACAGACGGACGGACAGACAGACAGACGGACAGTTGGACAGACGGACGGACGACGGACAACTGGTGATCAGAAAAGCTCACTTGAGCTTTCAGCTTAGGTGAGCTAAAAAGAGTGAATGAAAAGTAAGTTAAAATGAAGAAATAATTAAATATAATAAATTAATTTTCTTTAAAAAAATATGTGAAGAGATGTTCCAAGAAATAAATCATTAAGGTAGTTTTCAAAGGTAATCATTGAAAAATTCCCAAATTGTGCAGACTTAAGTGAAGTCATAACAAGTGGCTAGGGCATTAATATTTTTTAAGGAACTAAAAAGATTTTTAAAGTCTTTTCTTGAATAACAGCAGGGCTAAGGTGACTCAGGTAAGAGTTGTGGTCCATGGGCTTCTTGTTTCCTCTCGTTACCAATGAGTATTTATTGGTTAAGGGAATTTACTGTTGACTTTTGCTACAAATATGAATATTTAATACACATTTCGAGGATAGAAATAAAGGTAAACTTTGTTATCGAGACATCGACGGGACCATCGGAAAATGTCGAGATATCCGAGGTGTCGAGATATCAAAGTTGAGACTTGACGGCCAAGATTTCACTGCATAGCAAAAACTGCGCTCTATAAATTTAGAACCATATAAAATCGACATCCGATATACGGAAAAAAAATAAATGCGGATTGTTTTTTTTTTCTTATTTTATTCAGGAAGAATGTACATTAAAATTATTTTTTTTTAAAGAGATTTGTGTATCTAATATAAACTAACGTAGTGATGTTACAGATGCAATAATTACGGCTGATTCGGTCAATCGTGTCGTTAACTGCATTGTTTCCTGTTTCCATTTTAACTACAAAATATCATTGATACATGTTTTAATTCCTTAGTTTGAATTACTCAGTGTGTTTGTTATTCATTGTAATTTAGTCACCTTTTTCAAATTTAAAGTTATGTTAGGTTTCGATATAAATAACCGTCTGTACATTTACGCAGAATCGTGTAGATTTCACAATGATATTACCCAAGCTGAACATTAATTAAGCAATTAACTTCTCAAAGGGGCTTGGGATTCACCTACAAACACAGTCTATATAATTAATTAATCAGCGTGCAACCAAAACATGGGGGTGTGAAAGGTGTGAAATTTCGACGACGTTGAGTTACCTGGAGTAGTCCGGGTGTGACGAGCGACCCTATCTGACAAACAGTAAGGTTCAGTAAAGCAGAAAATTGTCGATGTCGACATATACCAGGTACATTTTGCTCTTGGGACTGTAAATATACGTCGAGATAACCCGGGTTGTCGACATTACCGAGGTCGACATATCAGAGTTTTTGCAAATCATTTATATTGTAAATACTGCCGGGACCGCGGAAGGACGTTGACATATCCCAGATTGTCGACATATCCGATGTCGAGATACCGAAGTTTACCTGTAAATATAAAATGCATGTGACATGAAGATTTCTTGAATACCAATAAATACATGAGGATCTCGCCTTTATCATCGTCTGAATTCATAGTCAGCGCATGTTTGGTTCTTTCCGTAAGAAAACTCTAGTTGTATACTGAGCAAAAAACGTCATATGAAATGGAGATCACCCGACAAACGTAGCTCATACTTAATTAAAAAAATGTTAAAAGATGTTGTTGAATCTATTATTATTACTGTTTAACCTTGATTTGACTTCAATTGACCCGTTGAATATTAAAATTCATCACATGGTGTCCAGCTACAAGTGTCCTTGTGAAATCAGTTACATTGTATTCCTTCATTCTTAACGTGATCTCGATCTAATTCACGTCTTGGAACGTCTTAGAACGTGTTTGGTTAGTCTGCTATTTGCAGAATTTAGCAAATAAAATATTGTTATATTTTTGCGTGTCCTTTTTATATTCACCAGAACCATATTTTAATTTCATCTTGACATTACTGTATATTTGAATTTCTGAAGAGAGAGAGCCCTGCCTTGTTATTTCTTGTAAAATACTTCATTTACAGTTTGGTAGAGAGAGCACAAAAAGACCAAAAATAGGGCTTTAAATCCGCTCATTATTTGTTCAAATACATTTTTCCCTCTTCCTATGGGAGATGAACAAAAATTAGATGGGTTCAGTCATTAAAAAATATTCTTCTCTATGAACACTTACTCATTACTCATATTTACAAGGAAGCATCGCAATAAAGTACTGATTCACACCAAGGCCCTCTTAAGATAGGGTGGATATAGAAAGGGTGGATATAGAAAGATCTACAAAATTTTACAAGGTAATATATAGCATCAAAGTTACTCTACATTATAAATAATTATGTAATATATTGCATATATTGTTATGCAAAACAATCACTTGATTGTTCAAATTACAGTTGTATGTGCAAGAGAGTGCAGCTTGAAATCAACTTTCTCATGTTTTAAACAGAATGAAAAATAAATTTGTTTCTATTTTTCAGATTTCAAGATTACATATACCCTATTGCAACTGCTAGTGTGATACTCTTGGTGAAGCTGTTCTGATATTTTCTCTCATGGTTAATATTTGAATCGTTTATGAAAAAGAAATTAAGCTAAAAAAAATAACAAAATCATCTTAAAGTTTATTATTTATTGATACTTTGTTTTCATAGGTAATATATTTAGTCTTATAGTTGACATTCGAGCAAAAACGTATTTATGAGTCTTTGTACATTCACTGTATAAAGGGAGAAAGAACGTTTTTGTTTCTGTCTTCAATGAACTTTTCAAATGTTTAAATTTTCTGCAAAATCAGTAGATAAAATATATCACATTTTTGGATCTTTTAAAAATGTCAAGTAGAACTTTTTAGTTGTTTAAGAAATATTCATTATTTAATTACAAGAAAAAAAAATCTCAACATGTTGCTATTTCTTATAAAGAGTTATCTGGATTTCTGACATAAAGAATGTGCAAAAATATGCTCTGATTGCATGCATTATTTGTTTTTATTAATCAAATATGAACAAACATTTTGTTTTGTGTTTGTTTTTTTTTTCTTCATGTGAACAATATTTATTAAAAAGGTATATAAGAACTAAATTTATTTTATTTTAAATTTGCTTAAACTATATCTGGAAATACTTTTAATAGTTTCAAAATAAAATATTTTACAGGAATGAAAAAAAGAATCAGACCCCACTGTCTCCTATTATATATAAATAATCACTTTTGCAAAAATAAAAGAGTTAAAACAAAATACAATTCTTGAGATAAATTAGATGGCTCAGCTAACAGAGAATATAAAAATCGCAAAAACCTTGTTTTAACATTTGGTTTAACCCTGAAATGATACAAATATATCCATCTGTCTTGATTGTGTATGTTTGTTTTTCACCATATTACGTCAAAGTCTTTGTGGAACATCGTTTACGAAGAATCCGGATTAGAAATCGTACAGGCTTGAATTTTAATGTAAAAAGAAATCTTAATTGGGATAAGATTGGATGAGTTGAATTGCTATTACCCAAGCTGTAAAATTCTTTTACATTTTCCAGGCGATGTTCATGTATTAGTATTGTATTATTTTGTGTTTATTAATTGTTTCACTTTATTGTATGAATAAAACATATGTGCAAGTACCTTCCCTATTCTTTGTGTTATTGATTCGGAAGAAGGGCTACCTTTGGAATGATACAATTTTAATGCTCTTAATTAATTATGATTCATAACAATGGCTATTAGGAATACTGTTTTGCATGTTTAAATGACTGAGTTTTGGTGGTTTGAAAAACAATTAAAGAGACACTTTGGGTCATGTTCAACAGCTTAATTTGGAGTTTTTTTCTATACTCATCGATAAAATAATAGAAATCATATCGATGCTGAAAATTTAACTTAGTTGACTGCTCTAATTAGCTCGCAATTGCGCGTTGAAAATCTTCCGGAATTTTAAGTTTTGTTCATGGCGATTCGGGCTTTCCGTCGTATATTTATATCACGTGACTTTGAATGACAGAACATCGACAATGGAGTTGGAGGTAAGAATGGATAAATTTGCAGAAAACAATCAGTAATTAGAGTATTTATACACAGGAAAATTTGTTGGGTACAACAAGAAGTGTTAAGGATTTCTTCCATGCTTGCATTGCAGTACGCTTTGTCAAAGTGTGTAATAATGAGGTCCCATGAAGGGAAACGAAAAACGACATTTAAGTGGGAAAAATGAAGATGTTTTACGAAGCACTTTCTAATTTTTCATAGATTCTTTTTTTTTAAGAGCACAAAGTATTTTCATCGAGTAACTTTAAAGTGATGGAAAAAAATACATAGATGAAACATAGAATAGATAAAGCCATTTCGTGTTTTTGGCTATCATGCCCTTAATATGCTAAATGCAATAAACGTTCTTTAAAACGTCCTCAGATGAAAAGTAGTACATGTTTATATGCATATGAAAATTAAAAAGTTATCATCTTATTTTCTATTAGACATTAGAGCAAAGCTCAGAAAGCTCATCAAGCCCACAGAAGGTATACCAGAGAGGCCGAGGACGCTTTAGGCCACGTAGAACGAGAGAAGGGAGAGGTCGACCCAGATCGAGACAGACAGGGCAAGCACGGCCAGGGGTGCAACCCATTAGAGGACGTCGGCGAAGAGGACAGCCTGACATTGGCTGTGCCAATGCTGCCCTAGAGGAGCGGAGGAGGGATATAGAGGTAACCATTACGTTTGTATACTCTAGTTTGCAAACATTACACTATATCAAACCTTTTTGTTTAACTATATTCGAGATTTGCTTGTTGAAAACATTTTTTCCCACATATTAGCTTTTACTTTATCTTAAATAGCATGCAATAATGACATTAATATTCATCATCACATTTTTTTTTGTCTAGAGAAGAGTAGATAGTCTTTCTCCAGAGCAAATGAAGGACAAACTGCAGAGAGTTGTGAGGGAAAGCCCAGAGTACCTCTTTACGATATTAGATTCCACACAGACAAGTGCTGGAGGAAGTGGACATCATCCTCCAGAGGGATCACTACAGCCATCATGGTGCATATGCACTTTCTGCAGAGAAATGCCCACTCAAAGAGAAAGACTTTGCTGCCAGAGAAATCAAGATAGCTGTGTTTCAAGAATACATGTAAGTTTCTGTTTATTATTTTCATGCCTATATGCCTTGATAAGAAATACAATGGATTTGTCTTTCTTAATTATACAGTCTTGCATGAAATGTTTTTTTTTTAAATCAGGATTTTGATTTTCTCATCCTGAATGAAGCTGTGCTTGTCTTGGCAAGGCTGTACAGACAAGGTATTTTGGCATAGCCTGAAGATGCAGACAGAAACAATGCCAATCGCACACTGCCTACCACCAATTTGTACTATGGCATCATGGGAGACTTGGGGCAGGTGACCGAAGAGATATTCCCAGTTGCTGCGTATGGAGGATAAGAGATCAGTTCCCCGACCAATTTGGACAATACGTAGGATTCATAGATGATCTCATTACAGTGAAAAAAAAACTAAATGGTTCCTATTACTTAGAAGCCCCATTACAATGAAAAGCTAACTATAAACAACATTTCTAATTTCATTTTGCTTTATTGTTTATATATTGAATAGTAATCATCAGAATTTTTCTTCAAATTATTATTTTCTTCCAGAGAATTTTGCAGTAATGAGAATTTGTGTTACTATTGTGAAAATAAACTTGCTTCTCACAAAACATCTGTGACTTTTACATTATTTGACTGCAACCTGGTGTCATGATGATCACTTTGACCCTACCCAATTATCATGAAAATGACATTAATATTTGTAATACTCAAAAATATTCTTCCTTAGGCCATCTTTAAAAATATGTTTGCTTGCCCTCTCCTGACTTAGAATAAATATATTGGGTCCGTAGGTAGGGGAAAAATTTTTTAAAAATCAAAACAACTTGCATATATCATGATAAAAAAAATTATTATCGGGATCAGACTTGATTCCTGGAGGTTAAAAAAAGTTTTGAGTTGTGGCATTTTTAGCCAGTCGGTCGGGAGAGGGCAAACAAACATTTTTTTTTTGAAGATGGCCTTACTCGTGGACATTTAGCAACAAACTCAGCATGATACAAATGATTGCTGTACCTTCTTCTAAAACAGTAAAATTCATGGCTCTTGGGTCCACAATTTAGGCTTTGGGAAAATTTAAGTTGAATGTATTGGAAAAGCTTTACTCGTTTTGAAAATCCTGTGTTTTCGGGGACATCTGGCAAACTAAATGTCATGCATGAAATCAGTTAACACTGAAGTTGAAATAAATTCAAGGTTCCCTGTCCCATAATTCAGACAGTAAGATGCAGCTTAGTTTGTCACAAGATAAATGTAAACTACTTCATTGAAAATGAAGATCTTTATTACTCATATAGCAGACAAATACTGACAGATTTTCTGATTATAGTGAGAAGTTAGTCCCCTACAAAAATTATAAATTGATGCCTCCTGAGATCATGGTTTAATTCTGGAAATGAAGCCAAGTGGGCCATTTATAAAAATTATCTAAATTATTAGAGTATCAATTTCTTTTCCTAAAATTCTAGTAGAAAAGCTACATGAATGCTAAAATAATCATACTGATATTGGATATACCTCTGAAATTGGTCAAAAGTTCAATGCAAGAAGCAAGCATTAAATGTTTATCAGATTATGACAGGCCAAAATCGATAGCAAAGGATCACCTGACAGACTCTGTTTACCAAAAAAGAAATGAAATAAAAATTTATTCAACTAAGTACTAGTGATTGACGATAGATCAAAAAAGGGCCACTGTAAACATATTTTGAAGTCGTAGTTCATCAAGTAAAAAAACTATTTCAACTTACATAAGCACTGTAAAGAAATGTATGAATAAAGAATTTGCGGAAATACTCTATAAAGTGCTTAAATGTTTTGATTGATTTATCTACATGGCTAGTTGTATTTTCAAAAATTACAAGTTCCTGTCAAGTATTTATATATATATATATATATATATATATATATATATATATATATATATATATATATATATATATATATATATATATATATATATATATGAAAAGTCTTTATAATCTACAAATACAATGACAATGTTTCTATTTCTGAAATCTGGAGACTTTCTCCTGAAGAAGCTCTTCGGTTGGCTTGGGTTCAGTGGGAGCAATGGTTTTGCTTAGTCAAGGTCAAGATGATGTACAGATGAATTATTAAAGACCTATCTTTTCTTATTTAATAATATGACCAAAGTTTAAGTTTTAACAAGAGACCCATAAATGAGATTTAATGTTCACTGGCTTTTGCAAAAGCCATAGACAGTAAATATTTATGATAAATTGCAGTCATGATAAGAAAAAAATATCTTGGACAATATTAACTTACTCAAACGGGTTTACATATGAGGTATCTTTAACATCTTTGAACAGCTTTCTCCTTTTCCGGCTTGGGCTAAAAATACATGAAATTGGATCAGTTCTTATTTTATATATATAGTTATTTATTTCATCTCAAATTAACTCATAGATTTACTGATTTTTGGATATAAACATTAAAAAAAAATTATTTTTCATTTTGTCTGTGAGTGTGTCACTGTGTTTATGAGTTTTCACTTCAGTCAATTTTGTAGATTTTACAAGGCTCGAGTTCAAGTGTAAATTAAAAACAAACAAACAAACAAAACAAAACAAAAAGAGAAAAAAAGAAACCTTAAAGATCTCTATTTGTAACAACGAATGAATTCTAAAAGTATATTATACTTATCTTTTTTTGATAAATTCATAATTTGGGTAGAAAAAAAGAAGCTCATTTACCCTGGAGATTCTTCTCTGCTTTGCAATGAATGGCTGGGTGTTTTCTTTGGTTTAGGTACATCAACATCAGTGTTCTCACTAAAAATATATATACATATGTAAAATAATGTACATATGATTATTTAAAAAAAAATCTATTTAAACTGCAAAAATGCAGCAATAATTAGATTGATTTCATTTCTAAATGACAGTAAATACTAAATACTATAACTATGATATATATTCAAAGAAATTATTATGAACATAGAGTAAGTTCTATTTATTTTTTTTACCTTAAAGAAATTTCAGAAACATTTGGGGGACAAAGAAATCATGTTTTTCTCCTTTCCATGACAGGAGTTGAGAATTTTTTTCCTTTTCTGCTTTTCCCACTGTTACAACTGTACCACTACCTGTTGATTGCTCGGCTGATTCTGTTTCACTGTCCGTCAAAAACCTGAAATGGATCTTTGGACTAAATAATCTGTTCATTATCATAATTCTTACAATGCACGAAGAAATTAAATATTTCTCGCCAATAATAAGTTTTCCCGAGAAATTCTAGGAAACATCGTTCAATTGCCCCTTGGGTGGGGGGTGGGGGGGGGGCATCCATTCACGAACCTGTAAAATATTGCCAGATTTATCTCTATTTGGACAATTTCGTACATATAAATCATTATTTTTATAAAATAAAGGTAATGTTTCTTTGTGCAATTGATAAAGTAGTTGTTTTAAACCGCTGCAGTAAAAAAAAAAATTACACGTGTGGAGAATCGAGATTTGTCACTTACTTGTCAAGCAGCATCTTCGCCAGTCCAGCGTGCGTTTCACCTAGCTCTTGTTTCTTTTTCATCCATCGGTCATACTGATCGCTTAGATAAACCTTCGTCCTCACCTGTGCTCTGTCTCGTTCTTATTTCACTCTTTTTCTTGCAGATTCTGTCAAAATTATGGGTCTTCCCACGGGACGCTTTCCTTCGCTTGACGCCATGCTGCAATGTTTACAATCCCGGCGCATGCGCCAAGTAAGGAAAGAAGGAGACGGACGATGTTTTTTGTATAGACCGCCAAAAATTATTAATTTTAATGATAAAACGAGAATTTTTAACTTTCGAAATGTGTAATTTTTGCAAAGTTCATACATTCAACTATAGTATATGCAGCAAAATTTGAGAAAGTCGTGGGAAAATTATCATTTCCTTATTTTAGCGCAAAGTTAAACTATTGTGTCTCTTTAAAACATGTTTGAATGGTGGTACCAAAAGGTGAAGATAACGAACAGTGATTGATCTCCAAAAAAATCCTACAAACAATATAAATCTAGCTATGAACAGGACATTCAAAACGGATCCACGGACATTTAAGAGGTATGATAAGGTGCCAAGGTGTATCATCCCCTGTCCACCGATACCATCCTCCGTGAACTCTTTGTATTGATCAGGTAGACGGATACTGCAGGTGTAAAAGGTCGACAGGAATTGCTTACTCCTTCACCTGATCCCACATCTGTTGTTTTTTAGTGGCCCGTGTTTGGTCTGCTCTCAATGGACATTTGAGCTTGATTACTGTTTGTTGTTACAATTTATTTCGTAATCAAATTTGAATAAAACAAAGGCAAAGCAATTGATATGAAATATGTCAGTCAAAATATTACCCAGTGATAAGATATATTAGCTATAGAATTCACGGAATGCTGGCTTTAAACGACTTGGTTGAAATACCTTTAACATTAACTTAACTGTCAGTAGTCTGCCTTAGGGTTCCCCATGGACCGTTTAACGTGACAGTTAAATTCATCAACGCCAGAGTTAAAAAAATCAGCGCCATAGTTCCGCCATAGCTAAAATATTAGCGCCACAGTAAGATCCTCGTCGTCAGAACGATAAATAGATTTATAAATCAAGTGAACCTCTAAATTTGTACCGTTTTCCTGTTTCTAGTGCTTAACAGATAATCTACACGACTAATGAATATGATTAAGGCTCATTGTTTTATCTTGCCCAATCAATTATCTTCTAAATCTTCTAAATCACATGAATGAAAAGAAGCAAGCCATTTTTTTTTACACTTCACAATAATTACAAATGAAATTTTAATAATCAATTATTTCATGCTTTTGCATCGGCACTGCGAGTCAAAACTTCGCACAGAGTACATGCATCGTAACTAATCATGTATATTTGTAATGTTGAAAAATTACCAATTGAGTAGATCGACCAGAATATAATTTTATGACTCTAATCTGCTTAAGTACTTTTTTTGTTCACCAGTTTTCAGATACTACAGTCTTCAATAATTGCAAATATATACATGTAGTTGTAATCGTGAATGTGTGACATACCTGAATTTCCTCTGTCCTTTAATAACACTGTAGGCGTATTATTTACCTTTTGTAAACAAAATTATTTATTTTAAAATTATGGTTTTAACCTGTTATTACTGATACTTTTATTTTCAGATTCGTTAAGCTAATATTTGTTTATTTATAAGTATATATGTAATTGGGGGGGGGGGGTGTCTTTTTTCACAGTACATATAT